TGTGTGTTTTACACATGGAGGCCCGAGGAGGACATTAGCTGACCTGTTCTATCACATGTCACCTATTCCCTTAGGCTAGGTTCTCTCACTGCTCCTGGAGCTAGGCCTGCATCCACGAGCCCCATGACCCTCCTGTCTCTGCTGTCCACAGTGCTGGGATTGCAGGCGTGCCTAAGAGCCATGCACCGTCAGTCACGTGGCTGCTGAGAATTCGAACTCAGGTCCTCATGTTCGTATAGCAAGCGTGACTCACTGAGCCGTCTCCACAGCCCTTGGAGCCACGCATCCATCCACCCTCACCGTTCTTCCTAATGTCTACCCATCCATCCTTCCTGAGCCCCGCCTAGGCCAGGTGCTGGGTATATAACATGAGGAAACCATTGGCAGGCCTTTCGAGGAACTCCGTCCTGTGGGAAAGATATCCGCTTCACAAACAAGTGCTTCAGCACCAAGCTGTGCTGCCTCTGGGGAGGCAGGGCCTGGAGTGAGAGCAGAGGGAGCTTCAGTATACCTGGGCCTTCCCTTGGAAAGACGACCTCAGTGTGGTGTGGTTGTCCGTGTCTGTAACCCAGAACGTGGGAGGCTGAGGCAGGGGTAGGGGTGAGGCTTAGCTCTCTGCCTCATGTCATACAGCGGAAGGTGTCATGAGGTGTCAGAGGGAGGTGGAAGCTGACACGATGCCTCACTGAGTAAACATGTTGCCAAATCTGAGTTCAATCCCAGGATCCCTCATGGTGGAAGAAAAAAAGACCTGACTCCTGAAAGTTGTCCTCTGACGGCCACACTCCTGCCCCACACAGGCATGCACATGTGAAATTTACAAATTAATGTGAACTAAAATAAAAGGAGGAAGAGAGGAAGCTCAGAGGCAGGGTGCTTGTCTTTAACACACGAAGCCCTGAGTTTGGTCCCCAGCCCCACGGTGGGATGGGAGGATGGACTATCTATCAGTTGACATACAGGAATGCGCTGGAGTAATGGAGGTTAGTAAATGGTTGACTTTTACCCTAGTCAAATCGGATCCTTTTTACTTTATTTTGGTTTGCTTTTCAGACGTCTTACTATGTAGCCCAGGCTGGCCTCAAACTCCCAATGGAGTCAAGGACCACTTTGAACTCTGGATCCTCCTGTCTCTGCCTCCAGAGTCCTGGGATTGCAGGCATATGAATACCATGATGTGTGCAGGGGATTAATGAGGTGCAGGGAATTAAACTCTGTCAACAGAGTCACACCCCCAGCATGTAGTCTTATTCTATTTTTTTTAGATTTTATTTTTATTTTATTATGTATGAGTGTTTTGATTGCAAGTATGTCTGTATACCACATGCATGAGGTATTTGGATAGGCCAGAAGTGGGCATCAGATTCCCTGGGATGATAGGGGTCTGATCACAGATGGTTGTTAGCCACCACGTGGGTACTGGGAATGAAACCTAGGTCCTCTGGAAGAGCAGCCAGGCTCTTAACCGCTGAGATCTCTCTAGTCCCCCCTTTTCTTCTTCTTCTTCTTCTTCTTCTTCTTATTATTATTATTATTATTATTATTATTATTATTATTATTATTTTGAGACAGGGTTTCTCTGTGTAGTTTTGGAGCCTGTCCTGGAACTTGCTCTGTAGACCAGGCTGGCTTTGAACTCACAGAGATCTGCCTGCCTCTGTCTTTGAGTGCTGGGATTAAAGGAGTGTGCCACTGCTGCCCGACATCCTTTTTCCTCTTTTTAAAAAACACTTACTGGGCTGGAGAGATGGCTCAGCGGTTAGGAGCACTGGCTATTCTTTCAGAGGCCCCAGGTTCAATTCCCAGCAACCACATGGTGGCTCACAACCATCTGTAGTGAGATCTGGTGCTCTTTCTGGCCTGCAGGGACACATGCAGGCAGAATACTGTATACATAATAAATAAATAAAACTTTAAAAAATAATTTACTCTGTGTGTGTGTGTGTGTGTGTAGGGGGGGCAGGTGTCTGTGGAGACCAGACTACAACTTGGGGAATCAGTTCTGTACTATGCTTCCACAATGGAAGTCTCAGGGCTTGAACTTGGGCTTGAACTCGGCTGTCAGGCTGGAGGGGAATGCCTTTGCACGCGGAGCCATCTCACTCTCCTCTTAGTCTTTCAGTAAAGATGACCCATTCAGGACACAATTAAAGGTTATTTTTTAAATAGGATTTTTTTAAATTATAAATAGGATCTCAAATATTAACAACTGAAAATAAATTCACACTATGAACTCTGTGTGGCCAAGGTAAAGAAACGCCCCAGGGTGCCAGAGAGCTTGTGGAAGGTGAGTTGAAGGTGTTAGGGGGCCGCATGACAGGCCGAGGTCCCGAGCAGACACGCAGCCAGCATCTGAGCCTCTGTGACCCCGGCTCTCATAGTCTGCTTTGCCTTGAAAAGTGCCTGAAGTTTTGTCCTGTGACACAGGGATCAAGCCCTAGACAGGGCTGAGGTTGGTCCCCGACTCAGTCCCCTTAGTTGACTGAGATGAAAATGTCCCGACAATGTAATGGCCCAAGAGAATCTTTGTGAAGAGTATAGCTAATATAAGGCTTTGCTAGGTAAGCTTTGGAAATACTTTTTATATTAATATTCCTAAAGCCCTGCAAACAACGGGACAAGAGAAGGCCAGGAGTGAGCCCCAGGACCCTCAGCCTCCTCAACCGAATCAGCTTCCACCTCCACTGTGAAGCCTCCCAGTTTTCCCTCCATACCCCACGTATTTCCTTCCCAGAGCTCAGGCCTCCTGCTGTATCTTCTACCAATCAAGGAAGTCCCCACGACACACTAGGAGTAAATTTAGATCAAGTAGACTCCCTGACTCAAAAGTCCAAGGCCTCCCCACCATATATGTCCATGCTTCAGATGGACTGGAACTCTCGTCTTGATCCTTGGCTAAACTCTTGGGAAGTTGCCGACACCTCGGGACCTCACCTGAGCTGGAAGGTGAAGTTGAGACACCCTGGTCCCTGTTGGAAGAGGGTACTCGGAGGGCAGGAAGGACAGCCCAGAAGCTCACAATGTTGCCCACAGTGCATCACCCCACATCACACAACACAGCCCTGGCTCCATGTCTCCAACTTCTATGGGATACCATCCAGCTTGCTCTTTTTCTCTTATATGATTCAGTTCTGGGACTGAACCTAGGCCTCACGCATGACAGCGAGGCAAATGCTCTACCCTGAGCTATACATACCCATAGTTCTCCTTTTACCCTTGACTTGGATTCCCCTGTCTCAGCCTCCTGACTAGCTGGAGCTACAGGCCTACACCACCAGACCAAGGATGCTTTCACTTCTTTATGCTTCCTAGAAGGACAGCAGGCCCTGCTGACACTCCATTTGGAGGAGGACATGAGGCCTCAGAACCAGGTGGCCATGGATCCCAGCATCATGAGAGGCTCAGCTGGTACCAGGGGATGGCTCAGTGGCAGCCAAGAGGGAGGCAAGAGGGACTTACCTGTGGGCAGAGTCTGACCTCTGAGAGCCAGGAAAAGCAGCAACCATGTCCTAGCCATGGCCCACTCGAGAAGAGGCATGATCCAGCTCCAGCCCTGAGGTGTGGGCTGGGGGAGGAGGCTCCCCAGACTCCCTCCCAGGCCACAGGCCCAGCTGTACGTCAGCTGCTCTGCCAGGAGCTGAGCCGTTTCCCTACCAGCCCCTAGTTCTCAGACTCTCCGGGGCGGAGGGGTGTCAGGGAACTCAGGTGCCACTCCCATCCCAGGAGCTGGGTGCCCACCCCAGGTGCATGGTGGGACCTCCACATATAGCCCTTCATGTCATCCTCCAGCTGCTTCAACTCACAGACGAGGCAACTGAGCCTCAGGGAGACTGAGTGGCCTGCCCAAGGTCACAGCTGGCACAGCCAAGGTTGAACTTTTTTATCATTATTATTTTTTACTTTATGTGTGTGTGTATTTTGGCTGTATAGATGTCTATGTGCCAAGTATGTGCCTGATGCCCAAGGGAGACAGAGACTGGCAGATCTCTGTGAGTTTGAATACAAGGTGAGTTCCAGGACAGCCAGGGCTACATAGAGCGATCCTGACTCTCTCTCTCTCTCTCTCTCTCTCTCTCTCTCTCTCTCTCTCTCTCTCACACACACACACACACACACACACACACATTCACACACTGTTTTTAATTATGTCTATGTGTCTGTCGAAGGCACTGGATCTCTGGAGCTGGAGTTACAGAGGATTGGGAGTCGCCTGACGTGACGTGGGCGCTGGGAACCACACTCAGGACCTCTGCAAGAGCAGTATGTGCTCTTAACCGCTAAGCCGTCTCTCCAGCCACCATTTTTGTTCTTTTGAGGTAGGGTCCCATGTATCCAGATGGCCTTGAGTTTGCTATGTAGCCAAGAATGGTCCTCCTGCCTCCACCTCCCAAGTGCTGGGTTATTTCTTTAATATATTTATTCATGGGGCTGGAGAGATGGCTCAGAGGTTAAGAGCACTGACTGCTCTTCCAGAGGTCCTGAGTTTAATTCCCAGCAACCACATGGTGGCTCACAACCATCTATACATAATATATACATATACATAATAAATAAATACATCTAATATATATATATTCATTCATTGGCAATTCCACACCTGGATCCACCCCTAATTCTCCCTCCCCTCTCCCCTGCACATGCCCCAGCTCTCCTCCTATAATCTTTATGACTTCTCCCTTTTTGTTCTAACCCGGGAGTCCGGTTAGTCGCTGGACCGCTGACTGATCTTGTCAGAACTGTGTGCAAATTGGCACAGCCACAGTGAGTTCATGAGCACCAAAGCCCTCTGTTGTCTAGAAGAGAGCGTTTCACAGGGCTCCTCCCCATGCTTCGGTTCTTACTCTTCCCAGCTCCTTCTCCACATGATGTTTCTGGAGCCTGGCGGGGTGGGGTGAGGGTGGTGGTGATGGAGATGTCCCATTTGGACCTGAGCACTCAACAGTTGCTCACCTGAGCCAGCCCCGAGTCTCTGCATTAGCTGCTGCTGCTGCTGCTGCTGCTGCTGCTGCTGCTGCCGCTGCTGCTGAAACGTCTCTGGCCAAGGTTGTGGGCAGCACTGTATTGTTTTGTTTTTGAGACAGGGTTTCACTGTGTAGCTTTGGCTGGCTTGGAGCTCCGTAGACCAGGCTGGCCTTGAACTCACAGAGATCTGCCTGCCTCTGCCTGCCGAGGATTAAATGCTTGCAGCCCCCATGCCTGGCTCTGGTTACTTTTTGACATGGAGTCTTGCTGTGTTGCCCCCAATGGCCTCATAGAGTCTGAGCAGGAGGCTGGTAAAGTGCTTGCCTGCCATGCGTAAGCCCTATTCGGCCCCATGGTCGGATGAAATCTCTCCCACCCACACCCTTAAGCCACTTGGTCCCAAGTAAACACACAGAGGCTTATATTATTTACAAACTGTATGACTATGGGTCAGGATTCTTGCTAGCTAACTCATAACTTAACTCAACCCATTTCTATTAATCTATATGTTGCCACGTGGCCGTGGCGTTACGGGTCTGCTCATTGGGTGGTGGGCTTACTGCTCATTGGGTGGTGGGCTGGTGTCTCCTCTCAGTCTTCTTTCTTCTCTTCAGTTCGAATGTCCCGCCTAACCTTATTCTGCCTCGCCATTGGCCAAACAGCTTTATTAATCAACCAATCAGGGCAACACATATTCACAGAGTACAGAAAGACATCCCACAGCACCCTAGGTTTGATCCCCAGCTGCATAAACCAGGTAAGGTGGTGTGCTGGTAGTCACAGCTCTGAGGTGGAGGCAGAAGCGTCAAGTTCAAGGTACAAAGAGAATTTGAGATTCACGAAACCCTGTCTCAAAAACCAGCAATCAAAAAACAAATTCTGGTCCTCCAGAAGAGTAGCAAATGCTCTTAGCAACTGAGCCATCTGTCCAGCTGTTCTTTTTCTCTTTTATGTTTTTGAGACAGGGTTTCAAGGTAATGCCCAAGATGGCTCCAACTCTCCATCCTCTTGCTTCAAACCGCCCAAGTGCTGGGATTACAGGTTCTTGCAGCCATGAGCAGCTGATTTCCTAGGTCTAGATGGCTATCCTAAGTGGGTGGGCATGAGGGATATCTAATTACAGTGTGGTGGGGTATTCACCAGAGAAGACTGCTCGGACATGGGTTTAAGCCAATAGAAAGTCTTTATTAGCCGGCCAGCACCTATACTGACTGTTGGGGATCCCAGTGTAATTAGTGGTGAGCCTTTCTCAGTGTGAGCTTTTAAGCACAAAAAAACCATGTTCTGGGTTGACATACTTCAGTTAACAAGCACAAGTAGCCAGAAGAGGAACTACAGAAGCCAAAAAGCAAGGTTAGTCCATTGGAGACTTTCCCAGAAGTGTGGACTTGGATGGAGCAGGCCTTTGTTTTCATCTTGGCAGGTGGTGCTGTCTACATGCTGAATTTACCATGGCTCTTCCATCATGGAGACCCCAGCTGTGCTAGGTCTGCGGACCTAAGGGCTGGTGTCCTGTTAGAATAATTTTGTTCCATTTTCCTAATGGTTGGTAACATGGAGCATAAAGGCCTTATCTATTTAGAAAAGGTCTTTTGTCGGGATGTGGTGGCGCAAGCCTTTAATCCCAGCATTCAGGAGGCAGAGGCAGGCGGATTTCTGTGAGTTTGAGATCAGCCTGGTCTACAGAGTGAGTTCCAGGACAGCCAGGACTGTTACACAGACAGAGAAACCCTGTTTAAAAAAGAAAGAAAGGAAGAAAGAAAGAAAGAAAGAAAGAAAGAAAGAAAGAGAAAAATAAAACAAAGGAAGAAAAAGAGAAAAGAAGAAAAAAGGGTCCCACACCAGCCTTGAACTCTGATCCACGGGCTCCAGAATGCTGGCATGCCTGCCCACTTTTTTCTTTTTTTCTCTTTTTTTTTTGGGGGGGGCAGTTTTTCCTGCTCACTTTTTTCAAATCTGTAGTTTTTTGTTTTGTTTTGTTTTTTGTTTTGTTTTTGTTTTTGTTTTTGTTTTTTTAGGGACCAGTAAATAGATTTTAAACCCAGAAAGCCCTCCCCTGCTAGAGAATTGATATCTTCTCAATTCTGCTTTCCACTGGAGCTGAGCACAGGGTGGGAGTTTGTGCTCCCCCAGTATGCCTGAGGGTTCCAGGCCAGGCGTGACTGCAGCCTGAGACCCTGCCTCAAAAAAACGCAAGGAAAACAAAACCAAAAACGACTGTCTTTATTTGAGTTCAATCTCACCCACTCCACCTTCTCTCCCTGATAGGAGGTGATTTTGGCTGTGTGAAGCACACAGGTTTTGCAAAGAACTAATTAATTGCCCCAAATTACTGGCAGAATTGCGCTTCCCGACGCTTGAGGGCTCCTTATCACACGCTGGTGTCTGTTCTGTGCAGAGCTTTATTTCTTCCTCCTCTTTCTCTGTGCCAGCCTCACCCGACGTGTGCCATTGTGCCGCCCGCAAGGGCAGTTGGAGCGGCCGCTCACCTGCCCTCTCCTGGGCCTGCGCAGGTGCTGGCCTTGGGTGCTTGGGTTCCACCGCGTTCCACCGCGTTCCCAGGCCCTGCTGTGCCCAGGTGCAGCCGTGGTGGCTTCCCCCTGGGAGGATGGGTGGCAGGTGTCCCTAACGACTCTGCCTCTGCCTTCTCCAGCCTGGGGGGCGGGGAGTGCTGCCGGGGCCCTGTGACCACAGTGCAGATGGGAGAGGCCCCTGGGGACGCCTTCAGGGGACAGAAAGGTGGGCTGGTTTGGTGACTGCACCCCCCACACACACACCCAGCTCCTGCCTCCCTCTTGGACCGGCTTCCCCGCCTGTCCTCACATCTGTTTCTCTCTCCTGAGGCCCCAGCTCTCCCTGGCCCCAAAGTCTCGCTGCTCTCAAGATCTTCGCCCAGGGCACACCAGCATAAGCCTGTCACTTGCAGGTTGGCAATGAGACCCAGACAGCTGACAACCCCTGCCCAGGGCCTTAGCTGCCTGTTTCCAGCTGAGGAACCCAGGCTGAGGAAAACCAAGCTACATCCCCGAGGGTATTTATTCTAGCAAGCCAGGAAGGGGCTCAGCTGTGCTAGGCGGACCCTCTACCTGTCTTTGGCTTCTACATGGCCAAGATGACGTTAACTTTGTTCAGACCAGGGAGTCCAGTGCTGCTGACCTGACTCGTCTTCTGAGCAAGGCCAGGATGCTGATAGCCTCCCCTTCCCTCTTCTTCCTCTGTGTGATGTACATTGCCTGTTACACATATGACGAATGTTTTTCCCTTTTTGCCCTTTTTTTTTTGGTTGGGGTTTCTTGTTTGCCCGGACCTTTTTTGGGTTGGGGCCACTTCCGGTTTTCCCCCTTGCCTTTCGCCTTTTTTTGGGTCGGGTTTTTTTTTTGTTGCTCCAAGCTGGCTCCACAAGCTTCCGTGATTCGCCTGTTTCCACCTCCTATCTTGCCTAGGGTCACCAGGAATCTGGACACATCCTGCCACACCCAGCTTTTAGGAGGATTCTAGGGATTCAGACTCAGTCCTCATGCTTGCTGGGCAGATGCTTTACCTCTGAGCCATCTCTTCAGGCTCATCCCTCCCCCTCCTCCCTCCCTCCCTCCATCGACCCCCCTTGAGACATCTTGCTATGTAGTCCAGGCTGGCCTTAGACTACCATTCTCCTGTCTCAACCTAGGATCACAAACAGGAGCCGCCACATGTGGCTCACCCCTACATTTCTTGATGACTTAGGGGAATGTTTTCTGGACCCTTTCAATGTGTGGCTAGGACTAAAGTCCGCCCAGTCCACCATTCTCATCACCAAAAAATTCTGATTCCTTCTCCAGGGTGCCAGGGCAGTTCTAGCATTTCAAGTTTCTTAACTGTGGGCTGCTATTAAATCTTTACAGCTTTAATTAACCAAACAACAGACTACTAGTGCCCTTCCCAGGGGCTGAGCCAACATATTAAATCCCAAATCTTGGCTGGGCATCCATGAAATGAACTTGGATAACCTAACATTCCAAGGGTCCTGTGTTCTCCCCCGACCCTCGGAGACAGGGTCTCATGGAGCCCAGTCTCCTTTAACTTGAGCTTTTGACCCTCTGCCTCCATCTCCCAAGCGCTGGAATTACAGGAAGACACCACTGTGCCTGATTTAGGTGGTGGTGGGAGTGGAACTCAGCTTCATGCACGCTAACGCTCTGTCAAGTCAACTACGGCTCCTTCTGAGTTTATCTGTGTGTGTGTGTGTGTGTGTGCATTTATGTTTGTATGTGCGTGTATGTGTGTGTGCATGTATGTGTGTATGAGTGTATGTATGTATATGTGTGCATGTATGTGTGTATATGAGGGTATGTATGTGTGTATGTATATGTGTGCATGTATGTGTGTATATGTGTGCATGTATGTGTGTATATGTGTGTATGTGTGCATGTATGTGTGTATGTATGTGTGTATTACATATGACAACGCATGTGTGGAAGTGAGAGGACAACTTATACCCAGAGTTAGTTCTTACTTCCCACATTGTTGGAGTAGGGTCTCGTTTTTGCCACTGTGCAGCATATCTGTCTAGATCTAGGACACAGATGCAGCTATGTGGATACAGACATGTGAAGTCTCTGACCCTTCTCGGGGCCTGCCCCCGCCCTCACTAACTTCCTTTCTTACTTTTGCAAATGAGAGCTGGGAGGCCAGGTGTGGGAGTTCCTGCCAGCATCCCAGGCCTGGAGACTTAGGTGGGAAGTTGGCAAGTTCAAGGCATCCTGGGCTATAAAATGAGATCCTCTAAAGAGAAGGGGGGTGGGCGGCTCCTGGAAGGGCTGAGCATTTACTCAGTACTGGAACTTGGTGATCTTAGAGTGACATCTCAAGGCCAGCCTTCAGCCAGGGTGACATCCCCAGCTGCCATCAAGATGCCCCGGGTGCATCCTCACATGCCGGCAGATGTTAAGGACCCCTTGTGCGCCCCCCCACCAACAACAGAACAAGCAGCGTGGCCATGCAGAATCAATCCCATCACCTGTCCCCTCTTTCCTTACAAAGAATGAGATCATCAGTCACATGCTTGTCCCCTTCTGAAACGTGAGAGGTCCAACCCTAACCCCGCCACCTCCCCATGCCCTGTCTCAGGTCTGCCCTGGAGGAACCACGTCTAGTGTTGGTGAGGAAAGACATGAAAGTGACACAAGACACTGGAAAACCTAAGGAGGTTTTAGCAGAGTCCACTGACAGATGTGACAGATGTGGACAAGGTCAAGGGAATTCCCAGAGGCAGTGTACACATGAGGGAGTCATGTGTACATTGGGAACGGTGTCAGGGCCCTCAAATCAGAGCGGTGTGGAGGGGCTGCCGCCAATGTGATCCTCCGGAAAAGGGGAAACAAAGAAACGTGTTGCTGGCCTTCTCTTCCTCCGGCCGCTCTCTCCTACCTCCTTGTCAGACCCCGAAGCCAAAAGGCAAGGGAGCCTACTGAACCAGGTGAAGGTGTTGGGTCCAAGAAGTTGGGTGAAGCAGGATGGAAAGAAGGCCTGTAGGGGCCACAGGAGAGGTCACTGAGGACCCTTAACAATGGCCCTCAGGGCTGGAAAGATGGCTCAGTGGGTAAGAGCATCTTCTTCCTGAAGACCAGAGTTCAAGTCCCAGCACCCACAGGATGGCTAACAACCAAGGACTCTGTCGCCCTCTTCTGGCTTTTGAGGGCACTGCATGCATGTGGTGCACAGACAGATGCACATAAAACGAAAATAAAAGGAAAAATTAAAAAATAATGGCCTTCATCAAGCAGCCCTTGGGATCCTAGCTAACCAGCAGGGGTATCTTGGAAACAGGGCAATTGGGTGACAGAAAGCCTGCAGCTGAGATAAATAAAAGAATTGCCCCAAAGTTTCACAGTGCCAAGGTGGGAACTGGACCCAGGCTTGGACCAAATACACTCGAAAGTCTCTATCATTCACGGACTCCTTATTCCACCTGGCAGGTAACATGGACATCACATCACCATGTGCCACGCCATGTTATTTATGTGAGGACTACATGGAGAGAATGTTGTCGTGAGCCCTTACTCCCATGACGTTTGTCCCTGGCAGGTTGTGGTGTCTCCGGGCCAGGGACCTGTGGGCCAGCCCTTGGCATTGAGCACAGGCTCTCCATCAAGGTTGTGTGTCAACTTGACAGAAGCTAGAGTCGTCAGAGGACGGAGCCTCAGCTGAGGAACTGCCTCCGTGAGATCCAACTGTGAGGCATTTTCTTAATTAGTGATCAATGGTGGTTCCGTCCCTGGACAGGCGGCCCTGGGTTCTATAAGAAAACAGGCTGAGCAGGCCAGGGGAAGCAAGCCAGTAAGCAGCTCTTTCCATGGCCTCTGCATCAGCGCCTGCCTCCGGGATCCTGCCCTGTGTGAGTTCCTGTCCCGACTTCCTTCAGTGATGAAGAGCAATGTGGAAGTGCGAGCTGAACAAACCTGTGTTTTGGTCATGTTGTTTGGTCAGAGTGATAGGAACCCTGACTGAGACACAGGGGCTCCCCAGAGCAAGCAGGCCAAAGAGGCCAGCCGTACCAGCAAACTCGAGGTTTGATTGGGAGGTTCTACTTCATTAAATAAGATGGCAGAATGATCTAGAAGAGTCCTGATATCTACCTCTGTATGCATGTACACTGTGTGTCCTCAGTTAAGGATTTGATCCTTAATTACGTCATCAGCCTTCGCTGGCTTCCCAGCCTAAAAAGCGGGTGGGTCCTCTGTGGGCTCTCTGTCCCCTCTCCTCTCCGCTCCTTCCTCCTGTCGGCTCTTCTCCCTCCCTCCCCCCTTCTCTCTCCTCTCTCTCTCTCTCTCTCTCTCTCTCTCTCTCTCTCTCTCTCTCTCTCTCTCTCTGTTTCTCTCCCCCTCCCCCCAATAAAGCTCTAAAAAGGTAACCATGGCTATGTATGATTCCTTTTAATCAGCACGCTGCTCCGCGGGCATGGTCGCCGCGGGCGGCAACCAGCCACAAGGGGCAGCGCCGTGGCATAACCAACACTCACCACCCCCCAACACACATTAAAAAAAAAATCAAGACTGTATAGGGAGTTCAAGGCCAGCCTTGGCTACATAAGACTTGAAAACAAACCCGGGCTGGGGATAAGCTGCATCCTACCTGCTGAGCGCCTCACCCCTGTTTTGTTTTTCACTTAGTGAGTTTCGTGAGGTTGCTCACAGTGAGGGTAGACACGTTGGGTTTTAAATTATGCCAATTACGCATTACTTACTGATTTCTGGGGTGTGCCAGATTAAGCTGTTTACTCTTATTTACCTCTTTCTGTGTGTAGCCCAGGCTGGCTCCACGGCCCTAGCATATGGTATTACAGGCATGGGTCACTGCCTTCTGTTCAGGCTAGCTTTGATAACTTCAGAAACCCGAAAATCGGAGCCAGGAGGTATAGTTCAGCAGACACCGTGGGAGATGGCGAGAGCCCTTGTCTCAAAGCCAAAACAGGCAACAAAACACCCAAACAGCGGCAAAAACAAACACCCCCCCCCCCCTGGGACTTGATGCTTAGTACACAGTTAACAAACAGATGTGAAGAGAGTGCTCGAGCTCGCCTGGACCACAGAGCGAGGCTGGGTCTCCAGGACAAAGACACTCAGCGGTCCTGCTGCAGCCTGTGCGCGCGTCTGCACGTGAGGAAGGGAAGTGTGTGTTTGCAGCTCTGCTTCGGCACACTTGTCCCAGAGGGCATAAAACTCTACTTTTTGACTCGTCCATCACTTTTTTTTCTTTTATAATTTCTTCTAAGCACATCTCACATTTTGGGATGAGAGCTGGGGATTAACGGAGCCTGCAGCTTCAGCCTGAAGAGCTGGTGTTCTGGCGGTCTAACCCGGGCTACACCGTTTGGTACGGTCCGAGGTTTCCCCTCCCCTTCCCGCGAAGGTGGTTGCTCCCACACCGCCCGGAAGTGCTCGCGGTCGGGTCCCGGGGGTGGACTGGTGGCGGGACATGGAGGTGCGGGGCCGTGTGGACAGTCCGGGCGGAGCCCTGGCGTCTGCCGAGCCGGTTCCGGCTCCGGTGACCCTGGCGCAGCTCCTGCAGCTGGTCCAGAAGGGCCAGGAGCTCCCGGGTCTGGAGAAACGCCACATCACTGCGACCCACGGCGAGCCCACGGCGTCGCTGCTCCCGCGGAGGCCCAAGCCCTGGGAGGACGCGGGCTCGGCCGCATCGGCCCGCACCGCCGCCCTAGACGCGCGCACGCAGTCCCCGACCGTCGGGGAACCGGCCCGGGTCAGCCCAGCGGCCCAGCTCGGCCGAGGCCCAGCAGATTCCTGAGCTCGAGGGCTTTTACAGCCGAGATCCGGAGGACCGGACTGGGTCCTGCAAGAACCCGAGAGTCTGGACAGCTGCCACCCTTACTCATCTTTCTGCATCTGCGCTGACCTGTCTCAACCGGACCCGGTCTTCCAGGAGACTCAACGTTGCCCAGGAATTTTGGGTTTGGACGCTGAATTTCAACTGCATACCGTGTTCTAGTCCGTCCGTGTAATTGAAAAAGCCTGTTTCACCACCTGCGGTCTGTTTCACTTGGGGCAGTAACCTCCAGGGCCACCTTCTAATGATACTGATAAAGTAAACCGAGAGCCGGGTCATTTCTGATTTTGCAGTTGTTTGGGTTTGATGATAGAAGTCGGTTCTGGAATGATGCAGCTAGTGAGATCTTTAAGACAGACGTCCTCTGTAGCTCTGGCCGTCCAGGCTGGCCTCCTCTGAGTGCCGGGATTAACAGTGTGGGCCACTACCGCCTGGCCCGTTTCATTAAAAGCTGAGCGGCAGTAAAACCCGAGAAGTCTTGGCTCTTGGAACCAACTCCTCCCACGATGCAGGTCGCAGAACCAAGCTGTGGCTCAGCAGCTGGTGCCTTAGCTACGGAGCCATCTCCACAGCTGGAACAGAAGAGTGCTGGGAATTACAGCGTCGATGCTAAGATTGTGTGTAACTGAGTGCGCGGTGTCAGATGGGGGGCTGGGGCGGGCTGAGCAGGTCTTAGTCACCGAGCTATGCTTGGGCTCCCTGAAATCTTGTTTAAGACCTGGTCTCTTTACATACTCCCGCCTGGCCTTGAACTCAAGAGACGCCGGCCTCTGCCTCCCGAGTGCTGGGATTAAAGGCTTGCGCCACCACACCAGGCTCCCAAGCAGTCTTTCCAACAGGTCCAGTGGCTCACTGCACTCTCTAAAACGAAGACCCGAATGGCAGTGTCAGCAGCCTTAGGTCTACCCATGTAGTTTAGTGACTAAAATAGACTGGGCAATTTAGAGTCCTACAACTTGCTTGGGACGTGTTAAGTTAGAAGGGATATCACGTTGTTTTTTTGTTTTTTTCTTTGTGACACAGGATTTCTCCCGTGTAGTTTCGGAGCCTTTCCTGGAACTCAGCCTGTAGCCTAGGCTGGCCTCAAACTCTCTCCATGTCACCCTGGCTGCCCTGAAATGTGTGTGTAAGATCAAGGTAGCCTTGAACTCATGAAGACCCATCCACTTGGCAAGCACAATCGCCCAAGGCTCTAAATACACTTTAACTTTGGGTTGGAGACGTTAAAAGCCCTTGCTGCTTTGCAGAGGACCTGGCGTCGCTTCCAGACCTTCCAGCTTTCATTTTGCCCTTAACTCCAGCTCTAGGGCACCACACGTTTTCTGGCTGCTCTGGGCCACACTCATGGTACAGAATCACACACACAATACATCTAAAAATAGTCTTTTACTTACAATTATTTTAAAAGTGGTTTTAAATTCTGACATCCAGGAGCTCCACTTTTCAGGCCAGAAACGCAAGCCATGCCCCTTATCTTAAAGGGCCTCACACTTATTAGGGAAGCACTCTGACACTGCCTAGGGGCGCCTCATTTAGCATTTCTCTGTGACTGCAAGGGATTTTTGGTTACCTCATCTCCCAATGCTCTACAACAGCAGTTACTGACCCCTGGAAGATTCTGGAACCCACTGACCTTGTAACTGGCATGTTCTGAGGCACTGTTACATTTTTTCCTTTTCCCCCCTTGAGACAGGGTCTCACTATGTATCCCTAGCTGTCCTGGAACTTGCTCTGTACACCAGGCAGGAATGAATTCAGAGATCTGCCTATCTCTGCCTCCCAAGTGCTGGAATTAAGTGCTACCAGCACACGGCTTTGGCTCTTGTCATTATTTCTAACTCAGTTTCACAGGGAGCCAAGGTTACAGGAAATCTCAAGGGAAAACAATGGTTAAGAAAGTGGACCCCTGGTGTGTGTTTGTTTTTTGAGACAGGGTTTCTCTGTGTAGTTTTGGTGCCTGTCATGGATCTCACCAGGCTGGCCTCAAACTCAGAGATCCGCTTGTCTCTGCCTCCCCGAGTGCTGGGATTAGAGGCGTGTGCCACCACCTGGTGCGGGTTTTAAGGAAAGGCTGATAGGCCATCCTGAAAGCCAGGGTGAAATTTAATGGGCAATTCCTGGATACATTTTTGAGTTGTTTCTGTGTGTGGCCCTGGGTGTCCTGGAACTCTGTAGAGCAGGAAACTCAGGATCTCTACTGCCTGTCTCCCAAGCACTGGGATTAAGGGGGTACTGCCTGTCTCCCAAGCACTGGGATTAAGGGGGTGTAACACAAGGCCCAGTTTCTCACTTTAGTCTCTTCTAGCACAGAATGCTAGATCAATGCTCATAAAAGCAGGCTGTCCTCACGTAAGAGGCACCTTGGAGTTCTGAGCACAATGGCAGTGTGTGTATGGTTTGAGGCATGTGTCTTCCTAGCGTAGACAACCCCCATCTTAAACAGTGGTCAGGGTTCAAACGGCACCACACCGACTCAGGACAGGCAAGCCTGACCACAGCTGACACCGAGGTCACACCATGGCCTCACAGCACAAGACCGCACACTGCTTTTGTCACTTCCTAACCACATTTCATGTCTGAGGAGTAAGTTCCCAGGCTGGGGGTGCACACACCTGTAATCTTAGCACCTAGGAGGATGAGGCAGGAGGATTGCTATGGAGTTTAAAGCCAGCCAGGATTGTACACAGTGAGACCCTGTCCTAAACAAACAAATAAAAAAAGCCACCTGCACTGACAACAATAGAATAAAAAGTAAAAACCAAGACTCTTTTCTTCCAAACTCAAGTATGGCCCTGGTCTGGTCCATTGCTTTAGTCTTGAAGCGGTGGGAAGGGTGTTTGGACTTTGTGCCCACCCAACATTAAACACCAAGACACCAGGCAGCACGAAGTAGGGCAGCCACTCTCCATGGAACTGGGCTGTGGTGAGGTTCACAATGCTCGGACCCGAGTCTTTCTCCCAGCCTCTTCCTTCCAGTGTGAAGGCAGAAATCATCTTCTCTGAAGATACTCGGTCATCTGAGATACAAAAGCACTCTTCCAGTGCACCGCGTCTTTGGGAACCCTAAGGGAGAAAACACAGCTGCATCAAAACCACTGGATGGAGAACAAGGACAGCAGCGACAGACACACGGCACCCGGGGTGGGGTCCTCTCTCCACCACAGCCAACTGGTCCTTTATGATGGGACTCCTCCTCACTGCAGGCTAAATGTCCACAGCAACACAGTCCTTTATGATGGGATTCCTCCTCACTGCAGGCTAAATGTCCACAGCCAACTGGTCCTTTATGACGGGAGTCCTCCTCACTGCAGGCTCAATGTCCACAGCAACACACATGTTTTCTAGCCTGTAACCTCACAGGGACAGCCTCATGTCCTCATCAGGCGTTGACCCTTCCACAGGTCAACATGCTTGTTCCCATCTTAACAGGACTCTCAAGTCCAGCACACACAGGAAGAACTTCTCTTCTAGCAAGGCCAGGGACTAAGAACTTGCAATTGTAGTTAGTTCTCGACCACTAACTACACCTCCAGCTCACAGAGGGACTTAAAACGGACAAGCATGGCCCATGAAAAGTCAGGCCAGGGGCTGACAAGATGGCTCAGTTACAAAGACGGTTTTGCTACCAAGACCGAACTACTCAGCTTTGATCCTTGGAACCAATATGGGAGGAGAGAACCAACCTCCACCCCAAGCTGTCCCTGACCGCCACATGAGCACTGTGCTGTGTACACGTGTGTACACACACACACACACACACACACACACGGGCACAACAAAAGGGTTTATAGTTGATGATTAGGGAAGGGAGAACAGGGGGGATTTGCTTTGGCCTGTGGAAGGTCGTGGGGGGAGAGAGAAGAGGGAGGGAGAGAGTGAGCGCACGAGCAGTCTGCAGCACAGCCTCACCTGGTCCCAGTCTAGTTCAGCTGGCGGATGAGCTGATTGATGCGTTCACCCCGATAGCCAGGAGAACCCATCTCCTTGAGGAACCCCACTCTGTTCTTGGTAGCATGCCGGGCCACGGAGAGGTGGAAAGGGCACAAGAATGAGGAGATCTCCTGGAAATGCTCGCCCGGGAAGGCGATTTCATGGATGAGGTCTTCCAGGCAAATGACACCAAATCTCCCTGGAAGAGAGACATGGTTCCTTGTCCCTCATCTAGCCAGAGTACAGGAGTGCTCACATGGCAACTGGGACTGCAGCGCCCAATGATATATACGCCCTGGACCCCAAACCCCAGCTGCCAACACCTGGCTTTCCACCCAGCTGCCCCCACAGCCGCACTCACCCAGGTGCTCCTCAATCACTGTGTTGTCGGTCAGAGCGACAGTCTTATTGTTAATCCTTGCTTGGCCACGTTTCAAGATGAGTTCCCGGACAGACTTCAAATTTGGAAATCTATGTAAGGCAAACACAGCATCCTGCATTACACTGGCCTCAGTTCTGCAGCTG